ATGCTGTCTTCTCAATTCTGGCTTTATATGCATTTGTATTATTATTATTATTATTATTATTATTATTATTATTATTTTGAGTTAGTTGAGTTCCTCATGGGTTCATTTTCATTGTTTAATGGCAGAACTGGATGAGAAGATAATGCTGGAGCTGGAAGATAATTAATAGGTGGATTTCCAAGCCATTGAAATTCACTTCTTTTGTATATTTTTCTCCTTTTCCACCTGTCCTACTGTCAACAATTCTTATGTGTAAGCTGAAAGAGACAGTGAGAAATATATTATTGCTTTTCTTTCAGAAGTAGAGATCGTTGGCCACAGCTCATCACCATCTTGAAATCTCCTTTGTTCCTTCTACACCACTTCTTAGTATATTGTTTCCTCCTGGTGCTACCATGATGGGATCTAAATATACCAAGCTTGTGACCCCACATGGCAATCACATATGAATTCAACTCTTTGTACAAGAAACATGTGAAGGAAGTATTGGAAGAGTATGATATCAGTATGCAGTGTGCTGTTACATCACTATCATATGTATGAAAGAGGATGGGTGAAGCGTTTGATGCTATATTAGGTCCGGCAGGAGAGGCATGCTCCAGGTCCTCTCTCTTAGGGAATGTCAACTGGAGGAGCCAAGGAAGAGACATTTTCTTTTGTGACACCTGCCCTTTGGAACGTTATCCCCCCAGAGGTCAGATTGACCCCAACCCTACTGGCTTTTCGTAAGGCTTTAAAGATGTGGTATTGCTACCAGACTTGGGGATCTGGGTGCGCAATAGAGCCTGTACAGTGGTTGTGTTGTGTGTTGACAGTTTTTTATACCTTGGATGTAGATTATATGTTTTTTCTTATTTATTTTTATTTATATATCAAATTTGTCACCGCCCATCTTGTTGAAACGACTCTGGGTGGTTTACAGCAAAGATAAAATTCATTAAAATATGATATAAAATATTCCTAATAATAAATAACTTCCTAGAAAGATAGAGAGTTGATGAATAACTTGGGGAGCGTAGTCAGGGTGCTATCCACCTCCAAGGACGGTTATAGCCCATGTTGCCCCATGCACGCTGGCAGGGCAGGTCTTTAATCCTTTTCAGAAAGCCAGGAGGGTCGGGGCCCACCACACCTCTGGGGGGGGGGGAGAATATTCCAAAGGG